ATATATATATATATATATATATATATATATATATATATATATATATTTTATATATATATATATATATATATATATATATATAAAGAAAGTAAATGTGTATATATATATATATATATATATATATATATATATATATATATATATATATATATATATATATATATATATATATATATATATATATATATATATATATATATATATATATATATATATATATATATATATATATATATATATATATATATATATATATATATATATATATATATATATATATATATAAAATCAAATGGAGGCTAATAATTCTGACTTTAACTAAACATCATTAATGACGTGTTTATGGCCATGTTGTGATGATGATGGATGCATATGTTTCTTTAAGTTTGAATCTGTATAATAAGTTCCATAATAACACATTTTAAATGGTTCTAATGTGTTATATCTATTCATAAGTTACTGTATTTAAAGTTTGAATGCATGGTAATATTTGCAGATTGCTATTTACATCAAAATGAATTATACAGGTTACTATGCAATGCATTACATTGCTTAATCATTAACAAAACTTTTACAATGCATAAAGACTTCAAGTTTTATTTTCATTACTAAAGTTCATTGGAATCACCAGTTGAAATTATTTTAGAGAATTTTAAAGAAGATTTTTAAGAGGATTAAGCTGAAGGATGAATTAATTAATCAATTTTGTTTCATTTTGACATCAGGAAAACATGCATCATGGAAAATGTTTGACACATTGTTTATTAAAAATAAATACATAAAATAAAAATAAAAAATACAAATGATGCTCACAATAGTAGAAGCATAGTCAGCCATTGCATACATAAATAAAGCAGCCCTCTGAATAGATTATTAGTTGTAAAAAATAAATAAATAATTAAAATTATATAATTGTAGTTCACTACATAAATGCAGGCCTGTATGCATGCTTATTTCAAAAATATCTCATGTGTCCTCCAGGAAAAACTACAGCACATACTATAAAGAATGCCGCAATCACCTGAGGCTGGGTAATTAATTTTGGGGTGAACTAGTCCAATAAATCATCTACTTTTCCACTTGACCTTGCCACACATACATCATTAATGACAGGTGTTTATGGCCACTGTGTGATGATGGAGGCATATGGTGCTGTAAAGTTTAGCACTGCGAGACCGCGTTAAGTGGAGATACTTAAAGCAATTAAAGGCCAGGTAATTAAAGTTTGACCACTCAGCCGGCCAGTGCGCTTGTGCTCTCAATTCCCCATTCATCATCAGTGGGTCTCATTATAGCACAAGCCTGCAGGCCATTGGGAGGCCAAAGCAGTCATTCACACTCAGCACTTACAGTACCAATATGGCAAGCGGATTTATCACTATAACACAACATAAAACGGTAACACTATCTGTTTTCATGCTATTATGCAAAAGCAAATTATATGCAATAATATTATTTTACTCAATATATATATTAAAAAAAATAATAATTATTGTAGTTAATGAATAAACGATGCAAGCTGAAAATTGTATTGTATTAAAGTTCAATTTAATTCTTCAAAAGTGTTTTTTTGAGTTTGCATGGATATCAGCCTCTTATTGGGGACCCCCAAAACCAAACTTTGACTTTTTATAATCCATAATAGTGGGACTTTAAATGTTAAATAGGCTTGCCATATATCCTCAGCATATCCTGACAGACAGCCACATCTGCATTCATATACTTATGATCAGCATCATTGTTGAAATCAAATGGAGCATAATTTAAAGATGAATTAGTGTGTGTAGGACGTGATCATGTTCATTCATTCAAAAATTGCACACAAGACAGAAGAACTGCAGTTTGTGTTTCAGCCACAAGGTGGAAACAGAGACCAAGAATTGATTTAGTATTTAAACTCTGGCTACATGGTCCACATCCGGTGTTTGTTAACATCCTGTTTACTCTGATGCCTTCATCTGGTAACCCTTAAGCTTAAATGTATCCTTTGTTGTTTATTATACCATACAATTGTGGTTATGACTCAGTGTCTAATGAGAAATAAACAATTTAATCATAGTCTCTAAAGTTCACGTGAATTCAAAATGTTTTTCATAATCAGAAATGACATTTAGGAGCCCCGGAAGCTTTGCTTAAAAGGTGACCTCATCCCAAAATTGCTTTTCTTACTAGGAGTCTTTGTGTTATTTCTAGTTCAAATATCAACGTATTATTAAATTAAGAAACATGTTTAAGACAAGTAAAAGGAATTATTGTTTTGTTTTCAGAAAAAAAAAACAAGTCAAAATGAAGTGAGTTTTCCCTTATAACAATCTAAATTATATTAAAATAATCTTATTTCAAACCTACATAATATTTTACCTCACTGTGAGAATATCTGTCTTGTTTTAAGGAACTTATTTGTAATGTAATGTGTATGTTTGTATATCACATTTATTATGTATGGCCATCCACCCAAAGCACTTCACAATCATATGAGGGGGGGTCTCTCTAAACGACGACCAGTGTCATCCACTTGGATGATGCGACAGCAGCCACAGGACAATGGCGCCAGTGCGCTCACCACACACCAGCTACTGTATAGGTGGAGCGGAGAGACAGTGATAGAGCTAATTTAGTAGATGGGGATGATTTGGAGGCTGTGTAAGGGCTGATGGAGGGAATTTGGCCAGGACATCAGAGTTACACCCCTACTCTTTACGAGAAGTGCCATGGGATTTTTAATAACCTCGGTTTAATGTCTCACCCCAAAGACAGGGCTCACTGACAGTAGTGTCCCCTTCACTATACTGGAGTATTAGGACTCACACAGACCACAGGTTGAGTGCCCCTGCTGGCTTCACTAACACCACTTTAATTAAGATAACATAATATTTTTACATGTCTAGAAAATGCTTCTTGATTTAAAAATTATTAAATATTTGGACTAGATACAAGACAAAAAGTAAGATTTACCTCAGTTACTGACATATGAATATGTGTTTGTAAGTAATGTGTATGCATATACATATATGTATTAAAGCAGATGCGTGTGCTTAGGTATACAAAACATTATTTTCTTCTGTATATTTATATTAAATATTGCATGTACAGTGCATCTGTCAATTATGATCTGTAAAGGACTTGTTACAAAACGTTACAAAATTCATACAACACAATGTATGAAATTCATTATTATACAANAAGTATGCTTAAGAAACTTTGCAAATTACACAAATTAAACTTATATATATATATATATATATATATATATATATATATAT